GCAGACTGTAATCATGATTTTGCTCTGCAATTCATCAATTATCTACACATCAATACATTGATGTGTAGATAAGCTAATGGTTTTTATAAAAGTTGATTTTGTATCTGAATACTGAAATTATCAATTATTGATGTGTAGATAAGCTATTGGTTTTTATAAAAGTTGATTTTGTATCTGAATACTGAAATTATCAATTATAATACACCCTGGAGTCTTTTTTCTAGATAAAACCATATCATGAGCATAAGGGATTCTTTAATTTTTCCCTTCTGATTTGTTTGCCATTTCCTTCTTTTTGTGTTGCTAAATTGCTGTGGCTAAAACTTCTTGTATTATCCGAGGTAAAAAATGTAATGGTGGATACCCATATACTTGTCCTTCAGCCTTTCACCATACATAATATTTTATGCTCAAGCATGCTCCTTCCCTGTGTAATCAGTTCAAGGTTTGTTGACATATAGAGTTGTTGAATTGTGTTGTGCCTTTCCTATATCTGACATGTTTATATAATTTTCATCCTTCATTCTCTCCATATGATATATGATGCTTAGTTTGCATGCATCAAGCCATTCCTTCATCTCTGAGATGAAAGAAACCTCTTGATCAGAATTTTGTTGAGAATTTTTGTGTTATAGGTATTGATCCATGACCATGTGTATGTTTGATTTTCTTAAAAAGCAATGCTGGTATAGTGTCAACTTAGAAAACTGCCCTCTCTTGAAAACTGTGTAATAGTTTGGGAAGAATTGGCATTAGTTTTTATTTAAAAGTTTACTCACTAGTTTTGATTAAGCAGTGAGGGACATGCACACCCTCTGTCTAGGGTTGCATGGAGCCCCAGAGGTGATGGTGGAAACGAAATGCTAATTCTTCTTGGAGCAAGGGATGCCTACATCTCTGCTTCCCTCATGTCACAATCTGACCACAACCCTTTTCAGGTTGCTATCCTGGTGATACTTGATCAGACTCAGTGCCTGCAAACTGTCCTGCTTTCATGGCCTTCCTGCTGCCACTTCCAGGAGCATCCCTTTGCCAGTTCGTTTGTGCTTTCCTCTCATCTCTTAGATAAATGCCTCAGAACTTGAACTAAAGGGCATGTGCTGCAACACTCCTCTTCATATGGACTGAAGCTACCCTACTTGGAGTATGTGCTCTTCAGTATTCTGCATGTTCAGCCCTACCAGACTGAATGACTATGACTTCCTTTGGTCTCTTAAATTTCTTGGCAAATAGAGTACTAATATTTTATTTGTTGTTTTATTAACAGGTTCCTCTATGGTCCTCAACTAGCACTGTGCCTTGAACATTGAAGTTACTCAATTACTGTTTGCTGAAGTAGGAGGAAATTCTTTTTGCTAGGGTAGGGATGCCTATTCCTGAGCTCCACCTGTGGACTAGTGTGTTGTGCTTTCTTCCAACTAAATAGGAAGGAGGGCTTTCTTCATTCATTGGTAAACCTTGAAGCTAAAGAAAGGCCAGTTTAAAGAAGGCATGGATCTCAGGACTGTCTCATACACTCAGATCATTCATTTCTTGCTGAGTAAGGAGCCAGCATTATTTTATGTGGACATTGCCCTAACTCCTAACCTGGCTTCTCTGCCTGTGTCTTTCTGTGTGGATGAAACAAACCATGTACTGCTTTTTTACCAGCAGTATACCTTCATAATACCTTCAAGGGAATCAGAAAAAATATACATTTATGTTTAAATTTAATGTAGTAACTGCAGTTTCTATTATCTTTTCCTTTACTTGCAGGTAAAAGTAGAGATTACTCTTACAGAATGTTTATTACAATAATCATTTATGATCTTGGTACCATCTGCTTATGATGGTATAATCCTCTTAGTTACACATAAGATTTTTCAGCATTAACAAAACATCTGTTCTGGGTGATCATAGACATTCCACACATCATGCATGGGCTCTACTACTAGACTGCATCTCCAACCACCCCTTTAGGTGGATAGTGGTTTTCTTCATATAGACCATGAAACCTCTTTACATCATAAGAGTTATTATTTATTTCTCTTTATGCACATGAGTGCTTTGCCTGCATGAATGTATATGTACCATTTTGTACATTGTGCCCAGAGTATAGAAAGGAGCAGTAGATTTCATGATACTGGAGTTACAGATACTTGTGAATTGCATTGTGGGTACTGGAGTTGCACACAGGTCTTGTGCAAGAGCAGCAAATGTTCTTAACCACTGAACCATCTCTGCAATCTGAGTTGTATTTTGTATTTTGAGAAAAGGGCATCTGATGCTTAGGCTGCCGATGTATTCCACAGACTGGAGAGGGAATGCTTGTTAAAGACAGTCATCCAATAACAAGAATGGTGGATATGATTCTGTGCCATGGAGCAAGGTCTGTTTATGACACTTATTAAAATTCTCATATTGAATTTCCTCAACAGCACTAACAAATAATGGTATGCCAGGTTAAGCACAAGGAAGCGATAAAGGGGACATAATTGGGTGCATTCCTCCTGAACTGTCCACTTGGGAATTTATTGTGATGGGCCTTTGTGTTGTGTAGAGCTAAAATGATATCAAAGCCTAAAACAAATTTCTCAGTGTTTCTTCTTTCTCTGTATTTTCACTTAGGGGTGGAGTAACAATGTTTTCCAGTCTAAAGACACAAAAAGTCAGATATTTTTCATCATTATTTTCATCATGACATTCATTCACACCAATATTTTGGGCTTCTAGGCATTTTCCTTCTTTATCCTCCTCTGTGCAGTTAGAGACCTTTAAGGACCATCTGGTAGAGGGGACATGGAAGAACAGGTGTTGGTTCTTGAGGAAACTATGGTTTGTGCTCTGTACAGCCTGGTCTCTGTGCTGGGCAAAAGCTTGTCTGCCAGGCTCAAGAAGCCCTGAGTTGTGTGGTTTTATAAATGACTGCTGGTGAATGACCTTCATTAATAGGTGGCTAGTGGGAAAAAGCAGCATATTCATAAAAAGACAGATCATTCTATGGGGATATGAGAAATAGAACTCCTTGCCTTGTGATGGAAGGAGCAAGGCTCAGAAGAAAGTAACCACAAATGAAACCTTTTCCCCATTTGCTACAGCCTGTGAGTATTACTGGACCACTTCTTAGTTTCTGATGAGGACTTGGGTCACTGGGCTCCCCAGAGTCCATTGTTCATCCATATAGAGCCTCATAATGCTCCAGCATCAGTACCACATTGCTAAAAACTCAACCTGCATGCAAATGCAAACCACAATGGTGGAGCTCAGTGACCCAGAAGTACAAGCAGCAGAGTGCCCCTTAATCCCCAAAGTCTTCCCCAGTCTGGTCACTTCTTCCAGTCTTTGCTTGTCTGTCACACATGGGCAAATGCCTGGCGCGTGACTACAGGGCTGGCCTCTGAGCTGCCTGCCAAGTTGCAAAAGCAATAATCTTTTCTCTGTGTTGGCACCAGAAAGAAGTCCTTAAGTTGTGATCACACTTTGCAGAGCTGCCCTTTCTGTGTGAGGAGCTAGCAGCCTTGGTGGGGGGAAGAACTCAGAGCAGCTCTCATTTCTTTGTGGCTGCATCTGATCCACCTTTTCAGTACACAGCAAATGTTCATGCTGAACAGAAAGCATGCATCAAAGGGCCAGACTCCTCACCCCCCTCCAAAATTCCACAGCCTTTGTTGTCACTGGAGCTGGGTGGTTATTGAGCTTTGCAGACCTGCTGGGCCAGGAAAGTGAAAACACCCTCCGAAGCCAGCAGGGGTGGTGCTGTGTGCCTGGGAGATAGGGCTGTGCATCCAAAGGCCCGGCGGTTGCCATGGCACCCTGACACAGAGATCATTCCTTATGAATGTCACTGAGGTCTGTGACTAAAGTTGTTTATGAGTCAAAAGTCTCATGAAACTACAGGAAGAGAGGATGACTGCACCTCACAGGCTGTGGGAAAGAAGATTGGAGCTTCAATGAGCTCACATGCTTCCCCACCCCCGCCTAGTTTGCTAAGGAAGATCATCTTTAAATAGGACATGTGGCGCAAGACAGGCTGAAAAGACTGACATTGCAGTCATCACTATGCACAAGACAAAAAAGTATTTTAAATCATACACTGCTGGCTGTAGTTTTCCTGGGCTTTGTGGCTCAGACAGCAGCATGGAGCTGAGCTCCAAGGGCCCACAAGGGGCAGATATCTGACCATTTGGCTTATTCTTCGTCCTTTGTTCCTCCAACGTGAAGACTTACCGCTTTTCAAACCATAGTCTTTGCATCCAACGGGACAGATAAGTTCATGGTTACCCATTCTTTCCTTACAGAGGAGATTGAAGTAACAGCAACTATTGTTACTGCTAGAATATGAATCTGTAAAAATGACCAGCTGAGTGAGTGAAAAATCATAGCAGAGAGAGGCAAAAGTGACACCCATGTGGGGTATGGATTTTCTTCTATTCCTGGAGTTTCTCCCTTACCCTGAGATGAAGGACATATCCACTGACATTTGGAGACTGAGGTGAGAGGAAAAGCTTTGGAGAAAATTAGAGGAGCAGGCACCCCTTTTTTCCTTCATCCCTCTCAGCAGCCCATGACTAGGACAAAATGGCAGAAGTTCCTATGAGAGCAAGGTGGAGCAATGCAGGGAGCTGGAGGAAAACGCCATGTGTATGCTACTAAAACCTTGCATTTGAAGTTCAGATCTCAGCGTGTTTTGTCTCTTAGTGTTTTCAAAGGTAATTTTACCATATGGCAATGGCTGGCCTGGAACTCACTATTTTGGCCTAACTGGCTTTGTATTTGCATCAAATCTCACAAATATTGCGATTACAGGAATTCACTGTCATGTCTTGTTCTCAGACTCTTTTTGTAAGTTATTCCATGAATCTTAAATGGGTGGCATAAGAAAACTTGGTTTTGCAAAATGATTCCTCAGCTGCATTAAACACACAGGGGCCAGCTTAGGAAGCCCTCCATGTCACCTCCACAGGGAACACTTTTGTCCCCACCCTGCTTTTTTTTTCCTGAAACCCGAGAGAGTGTCTTACCTCTGACACAGTGCAGTTGAGCTGGAAGATCTGCCCTTCCCCTTCCACCTGCCGCACACACAGTTTGCAAACCAGCTCCACAGTGTTCAGGCTGAGTCTTTCCAGAGTGAAGGTACAGTGGAGGTTTCTCTGAGAGCCACTCCAGATATGGTAAAATGGAATTTCCTGGAAGATATGGGTGTGGTAACACAAACAAGAGATGCTGGAAGTACCCATCAGACACCGCTTCTCAGTATTCACAAATCGTCCAATCTCATGACTGCCCTACATACAAACATGGCCTCACTTCTTTTCACACAAGAAATCAGAGGTGCATAGAGGTTAAATAACAGCCAGTGTTGAACAGTGAGGAAGTGGATGTGTTGAGCCTGGAACCCATGGAGTCAAGCTCTAGAATCAACTAACTGGGCTACCTGCCTCTCATTTAGTAAAACAGCCATTATAGATGAGGTTTTTTAAAAAAGCCTAGAAAGTTCCTAAATTTTTAAAAAGCTTAAAAACTTCCTAAAATAAATTCTTCCCACTCCATCACTTCTCATTAAAAGGAATCCCCGGTGTGACATGCTGGAGAACAGCAAAGCTAGCCACAGGACGCAGTGCTGATCCCACATCTTTTCATGCCTCTGGCCTCCCTTTGCCAAGGGCAGGGGCAGCTAAAGCTTGCTCCAGTTGGAAATAAGTCACCACATAAAGGTCCTTGGCCTAAAAAGCACCAAGCCAATACAAGATACTCATTTGTAACCATCTAAACTACTGCACAGAGGAAATCCTATACTCTGTGGCAATTAAGCCAAGGAAAAGATTCACGAAAGAACACAGTGTGTAGGCTGAGGTTCTGATGCAAATCCAGAAACAGTGAGAGCCAGCATGCTATCACATTGACATATTGTCACTCTCCAAACGCTGCTCCTACCATGTGCAGGTGCTGTGCTAGCTAGCAAGACAGAAGGAAGCCTAACAAGCATCAGTGTCCCATTTCCTTGCATACATGCATTTGAGGCTGTTCCTATCAGTTTAGTGAACATGTCCATCAAAAACAAATTTAGTAAAATAACCGTACACCTATTTGAAGAAGAATGCTTTAAAAACCATTCCTTTAAAGTGCTGGTTAGCTGTTTTTCAAGAACACTGGTCCCATACTGTTTGGGGGAAATAAGTGTTAGTATGGGAGCCATTCCAAGAATGGAGATATCTGATGACTATAAAATCTCCATCTTCTGTCTTGAATCTGTATCATGCAGTTGGTGCCTCTTGATAGCCTCACCTGATACTTAGCCAGCAATTTGCTCTTCCAGAGGGAATGGGCGATATCATGAATCGACAGGCGGAGGTTATGGATGCTGCCTTTAAAATGAAGAGCCTTGGGTTCTTCTAGGAGCTGTCCTCCCATTTGTCTCTCCAGCTGTAGAACTTCCTACAACATACCCCAGGCCAAGACACATTATTGATGGACCTGCCCAACTTCCCTCAGAACTTTCATCAAGTAAATATGTTTCTTCATCATGTTTGTTGGATAGAATACTGTACTTAGGCAATGCCATGAATACAACCACCTGTGCATTAGAGATTATCACTATGAAGCCATGACCATCTTGCATGGGAACAGGCCCTGTTGACAACCAGACTGTGGAATTTGCATCACACTGCACAGGGAGAAAACTAAGTAGTGTTTTTTGCTTGTTTGTAGTTGGCAAGAACAAGAGACTGATATTGAAAATAGGAAGATATAATAAGAAAAATAATGGTAGAAATATAGGTAAACAGATAAAGTTTTTCATTGAAATCTGAGAGAAAGGGGCTGATAATTAAAAGGCAACTTCCTGTGTTATATCTGATAAAAACCAACTACCACCAACAAAAAGTGTTAAATATTTCAGACACTTAGTTCAATCTCTTATGGTTTAATTGTAAACAGAAATGAAGTGATAAGAAGTATGAAGTACTTAAGTCACAGTTACTAAAAAATGTGTGTGTGTACAGGTGCATGTGTGTGTAGACCAAAGGACAACCTTGAGTAGCATTCATTTGAGGTCCACCTTTGTTCCTGTGCACTTCTTCAAGTAGACTAGGCTGGCCTACCAGGGAACCTCAGAGGTTGGCCTTCATTTCTCCCTAGCACTGGGATTACAAACAAGTTTAGATGCCATCACACCTAACATTTATTTTTGTTGTTGTTGCATAGGTTCTTGAATTTCATGGACAGAACTTTACCAACTGAACCATATATAGATATATATATATATATATATATATATATATATTATATGTATATATATTCTAATCCTCTGTGTGTGTGTGTATCCTATTAGAGAAAAAGTTTTTGATACAGAGAGTGAAGATTTTAAACAATAGATTATGAACTAAACAATTACCCGGATTAAAGTTTAAAAAAGAATACCTCATCTCTCAAAAATTCTAGGCAAAGAAACCCACTCCATCCTATGGTATGAAGATGTAACAAGAAGACAAAAATCTATATCCACTTCCATTCCTCAAGCTACTTAATGGGACTTAATGAAGCATCTCCAACGACAGCTGAAATTATCCAAATAGCAGCACATCGTAAGTTATCAATATCAATGCACAAAATGAACCACCCTGTAATTCACTCCTCTCGTGCTACCAAAGTTTTGATGATTAAAAATTGTGTAATTTATGACCTTTTAAAAGTGAAAATCCAGGAAAATGGTATTTGTAAGTAACATAAAGCAAAATATGGTTGTCTTCTGTGGTGATAGTTTAGTAAATAAGACAGATTTCAAAATACAGGCATTCAGAAAGCCATCTGCATGCACTGGGAAACAGCCAATAAGTGAATACAGAGCAACCATAGTGGATAAGTTGGATCCATGTTGCTGTATATCCAGAGATGTGAGTGCTTTGCATTTGTTGAATGAATGCTGAACTACACTCTGGCCATTTAGTCACTACTGAGGTCACCAACATCATGGATATGATGCAAAGAGTTCCACGAAACTGCAGTTTCCTGGGTCCTTAGCTTGCATCACCAACTCTTGAAAGTTCCTTTGAGGCTTAGGAAATACATGGTCTCATATAGGGAGGGAGTCCTCTAATTAGTGTCTAATGGAAATCATGAGACAAGACCCCTCTGGCACAGAGAAGTGTGTGGTCCAGCTGTCTGATAGTATTGACCTACTCTTTTCTATGGCTGGAGATGAGTAGCTATTACTTTTGACAGGAGCTGAGCAGCCAGCTAGCTAGCCTGACACAGATGCTGTGTTACTGTGCCCTGAGTCTGTTGTGCTTACCTCAGCAGACCCCCAGACTACTCCGTAGGACCTACAGACCTAGCCAGCTCACAAACACACATAGCCACCCTCGCAGTATACCTTCCCTGACACTGCACACCCCATTCTCTGACAAGAATTCTTTGGCAGTCTGTGGAACCAGGAAGAGAAGTGAGGGTTAATTGTGTAGTTGCTTCTGCTTCAGCAAGAACACATAATGAGCTTATGTTGATCATGTTCAGTGTCTAGTTAGCATAATAGAGAAAGCTGATGTTCCCAGTGAACCTGGCACCTGACAAATTCTAAAGCTAAAATGATGTTTGTTTATAAGCCATTAGAAGAAAAGAAACATAATTAGAAATCTTTGAGATTACAGTCATGCCAATCAATCAGTTCTAGCTTCTTTCCAGTATGCCCTAATTACCTCATCAAGACATCTAAAGAGCAATCGATAGTAATTATCTGATTACTATAGATCTTCATTACATCCAAATTATCTCCCTGGGATGTCTGAAAGAAGATGCATTGTATTCTGGGAGGTAATTGTACCCAACAATGTAGAATGCATACCCCATCCCTACAATCAACATAGAATGCCAGAAGACAGCACCTTATCATTATCAGTTTTCTTGGCAGGATGGACCACCTAACAAAATCTTAGCTGCCTGTTGGCCATGACCTTGAAGTCAAGAAATCTAATGCCACATTCTGAATGCTAAGTCTGTGTTGGAGTCAAACCAAGGTTCAGTATTTTGTTTCTCAGAAGTCATTGTAGGGCATTTTCCCTTATGAGGAGTGGTTTGGTAGTGCCTCGAGGAAACCTTTACAAAGAGAAAAAATCCAAACAAAGTACCACTTAGTAGCAGTGGGACCAGAGGACACACTCTGCGTATTATTTTGTTTTGTTATCCATTTCTCCATCAACTAGGAGGCCCATAATAAGCTGCCATGCAGTGCTGAAACATGTCCTCTTGCACATTCCTATCAACAATCAAAAACTGATTTTGCATGATGTATTGTTTTCTTTACAAATTATAAACCCACATTTACACATTGATATATCAATATGTTATAAGCTGAGATTAATAAACACAGACATACTAATATTGTCTTTTGTTGGTCAATGAGGCAGTAGACCTAGGGTGTGTCAACTTGATCTCTATCTTAGAGATAGTCAGTGTGAGCAGCTCTTCACACACCAAGAGCTGGGTGAGGAATTAGTTCAGGAATAAATATTACAGTAAAAATATCTTTATTCAAATCTAATGCATTTTTTCCTGACCAACAGTGACTAGATAGTGGTTCTTAACTGGTGGTCATGACCACTTAGGGGTCACCTAAGACCTTCAGAAAACACAGATAGTTACATTAAAATTCATAATAGTAGAAAAATTGCAGTTATGAAGTAGCAATGAAAATAATTTTATGGTTGGAGTGACCATGGCATGATAGAACTGTATTAAAGGGTTGCAGCATTAGGAAGATTTACAACCATTGGACTACTGTTAGTATAACTAGGATATTCTATTCAGAAAAAAAACTATAAAATAAAGGAGACAAGAACAGAACTGGCTGGGGATGGTGGCATACACCTTTAATCCCTGTACTCCTAGGAGACAGAAGTAGGCAGATCTCTGAGTTCCAGGACAGCTAGAACTACATAGTGTGTATATGTGTGTGTGAGAGAGAACAAACCAAAATCACCAAAGATATTTAAGCACAAATACAAGATATTTCAATCAATAACTCCTTGACAATAAAAATCATGTAAAGTCACCTGTGAGTCAAAATGACTAGCCATGCTCAGTCGATGTCACCTGTAAATTCTTGTGTCAGAAGACTCAAGGGGTCAACCCACAGGACATGATAAACTTTGTTTCCATTTTGTTAGTATTCAGTGTTCTGAGATAATGGATTCACTATTTCCACTTAAAAATATACTGTGATTTCTGCTGAACAAACTTGGTTTTCTGGATTTCTTCTGCATGAAATCATCCTGCTTAATACATATGATATGGATACAAGGGTGAAATAAAAACACTCCTCAATGAGACATGGCTTCACAGCTAAGTGTTTTCCTCTCCTGGACAGCATCATTGAGATGTGTGAGTTATGTCAGGAAGGGTGTGGCTTGGCCCACAGTTTCTGTTCTGCATGGTATAGAGACAATGTGAACCTATAATCAGGCTGAAACGAGTTCCACTCTAAAATAATGTCTTGACAGACTGTTTTTTGAGTCACAAAGGTTAGGTTATTTCATACACTTTAATGGAGAATAAGTACCAAATATACTGAAGGTCAAAAGATTTAGGAAGATTTAACAAAATATCGTGACCTTGGAAAGAAATGTCATAATAAACATTAGGATCATCTAGGCTGTTTGTACTTAGAAATATAAAGGTCACCTTCTTTGTTGAGGTTGTCTTTCCTATTAGTGGCCACTTTTACTTCCATGGCAGGTTAGGGTCCTGCTGAACTTACCGGATACCCAGATAAACTGTCTCTGCCTCTAGTTTTACTTTGAAAAGAATCTCAAGAATGACTCAAGAGTTATTGACATCAGATCTCTATCCCTTCTCTCCACGAGAGCACACATGTCTACACACACACATGAATGCTAGAGTATTGTCACCAGGACCTGTCCCTGGAATCTGAGCAGTTCCTTGGTGCAGCATCTGCTTCCAGCAGAGATGTGAATGAGGACTGAATTGACTCCAAGAGCCTACGAAAGACTGCAGCTAAGGCAGCAACAGGGGATTCCACTGAAGAAACAAGCAGCTTGCGCAATAACCAATTAAACCAGGGCATTATCCATGCCGAGCCATTAGCCTGGGCCACTTTAGAGGCATAATAAATCCAAGCTCTTTTAAAGGCCTATGTGGAAAAATAAAGTATTCTGGTCTGTGCTCGGGGCTCTCACAGGCTCCTAGGCAGTAAGATTGGTCCACACTGGGCCCGACAGAGGGAGGAAAGTGGAGGCATACCTGGGAACCCATGGCTCTCATGCTCTTTCTCTATTAGCAGAAATTCTCACTTTTCAGGATTGTTAAGCCATGTCAGATTTGCCACCTCTGTGACACTGCCCCCTTTTTCTCCTCCTGGTCCTTCCAATCACCTCCCTTCAGGGACACTCTCACAATTAGGATTACTGATTAAACTTCAGTTT